CAGTAGGTCGTTTGGTGTAATTTGCCTTGTTCATGTAACTGTATTTCAGGTATGTGTAGGAGTGACATTATTAAGTTCATGTGAAACGTAAAGTCAGACACAGCTGAAAATGTATTTTCTCTGCCATTCCTATATTGTAGAACACAGTGTCATTTCATATTATGTTACATTATGATAATCTTATTTTAAAGCTGACAGTCATGATTTAATATCCCCCAAAAAGCTTAAAAGTGAGAAGTGTACTTTAGCTACTTTTAGCAGTCTTAAGGAACCCCCTTCCCTAGCATTTTGATTGTCATTATTTGGATTATGAGAGAATACATAAAACTTGTATACCTTTATAAATAATACATGTTAGTCAGGAAACCTGACATCAGTTAGTCAAATGTAATGATAATGATTTATGGAATATATTTTAGTCCACCGTGAGTTTCGTTACTAATCTGATGTCATCACAGTGTAGCTTTAGCCTCTCATAGAAAATCTGAATCTGTATCTTTGTAATGTATTATTTAAGTTTACTCTCTATCCAATAAACCAGTGGTCATACTAAAATTCACCTATGAAAAATGAAAAATATTCAGAACAAGCCATCAAAAAAGCATTTACCCTAAGCCATATTCAGAGCACTGAATGAAAAATAACTTCTGAATTACCTTCTTTCATGTGTCTATAACTCATACAGAAGAATTTGCAAACTAGAACTGCAGAAGTATATGCATTTTTCATCTAGGGTAATGGAAAATTATTGTTTTATGGGTCACTTACCAGTACTTATTTCTGTGCACCCAGCATTATAGAATTGTTTCAGCAAGAAGGTTGAGAGTACTGTCGGAGTTTCAACCAAGAGTGTGATTCAAACAAGGACTACACCTAGTTAATGTCAAGTTAGTAGGCACAAAAAAGCAGAAGAGTAAGCAACTGCTTTCCTCAGGTTTACCCTCAGGTACAGCAACCCTTTCTACTGTAGGCATGAAGCCATACCCTACACCTTTGCTCCCTCTTTTTGTTCAGAGTACTGCAGAAGGGAGAGGAATCAGGAGGCATGATGACGATTATTCCTGATGGCCAGCTCTCAGCTAAGTACCATTAGAACAAAGCAGCAAGGTCAGAAAATCTTTAGTGTGAGCCAGGAAATGAAAAAAATTATAGGCAGTACAGCCTATCTATGGCTGCCCTGGTACTGGTAGCTGCACAGATCTAAATCTAGTCTTAATTTCTAATAAGCAAAGCTAATAAAAAGCCAGTCATATAGAAAAATAGTAAGTAGATCAGCTCTAAGTAGCTATACTTTTGATAACATTTAATACAATCCCACGAATGACAGAAAATATTTACATTCTATGTTGAAGTGATCCATTTCAGTCCATTTCTTAAAACGGTATTCCATTTTGGGAAAGACACAATATCTGTGTTGAGACACAATTCTGTTTCAAGTGAATTGGAAAGGCTTTCAACTTAGCAGGGGCACTAATAAAATGCAACCACAGAGAAAATGTAACTATACACACATCCCCTTCCTCGCCCCCAACAAAAAAACCCCAACAAACCAACCCCAAACCCTAAAATGTCTACCACGCTTAGAGGATCACCTTCAGGTTTGGTTTGGTTTGGATAAGACACTACTATACCTGGCTTTTCTGCTTTAATTTGTACACTGTCACAATGGCATCCAAATATGAAAACTTTCACTGAGGTTCCTGAGTACTACACACAGATGTGTAAGATAATGTGTTTTCCTGGCCTAGTTACTAAGAGGAAACAAATATTAGTTGTGATAGTTCACATTGCTAAGGTTGGATAAATATAAAGAAATAATCAAACATCTACATACTTTCTATTTGCTTTGGACATTTTCTTTTTGTTAAAATGCACCTTCCACCCTATCTGTCCATGGTAACAGCACTACTGCCCGAAATACAGAGCTGCTAAACTAGTGTGTGTGGTTTATGCACCACTACCTCTAAAAGGTGAAATGTGCAGCGCCACAAGCTACTGCAAAATTGCAGCTACCTTAGCATAATACTATTGGCATTTTGAGACTGCATGTAACAACCCATAAAACTCTCTCCGGTATGCAATAAACATTATCATACCCTTGCTCCAAAATTCTGGTCTTACCAAGAAAATCTGCTGCATAGTTCCTTACGTTTTCTGAAGTCAACACTTCTCTTCAGAAGAGCCACAACTATAAGGCTGCTGGGTTTTAGAGCAATCTTTTCCACCCTGTATAATATGTGGCTGCAGTTTCTACATGACTACATGCATCTGGTTAGCTTAATGACTAGACTTTTATGTATGTTTATTGTTTTCATATTTTAAACAAATGTATGCTGGAGGGCTTTACACAATTTGACATTTAGTATGGCTAAGATTTCTCTAAGTGAATGAAGACACATCTCAGACACAAGAACAAATTCTGCAAATTTTAAAACATCACAAGCAATGGATAGGTCCATCTAATATCATAGAAACAACTGCATACTCTCTGGATTTAACAAACTATTTGGTGGCTAGCTGTAAGAACAGCATAGTAGTTAGACTACAGATAAAGGCCATTACATAGAGATGGCAAAGAAACAGAGAACAGCCTCAGTACATAAACTCATTCAGTTGTAATGGTTTAGAGAAGAACATCATTGATGTCCTCCATAGATCTAGAAAAATGGAGAATCTGAAACCACTTATTCATTCAGAAGCAGCTCCATAATATGAAGCCACTTACTCAGGAACTGTGGCAAAGCCACAGTTGAATTCTTTATGATTAAATTCCCTTTAGAAACTAACGTGTCATTTTCATGGTAACTGAACTGCTACTCAAAGGAATATTTATAACGGGAAATGAAGGTAGGAGGGGGAATTTAATGCTAGTGAAACAGGAGAAAAATCTTGATTTTCAGGTTCACCAAAAAACTTTGGAGTTTTCTCTGGCTTTTATAATAATGGAAATCACTTTCCTAGGTGATGAATAGTTACTGCATTGGATTAAGCATAGGTTTTAATGCAATGCAAATAATAAATCTGAGTAAAATTAAACAATTTTTTATATTTGGAATATTTTCTTTCAGGCTATTTTGCATGAAAGAAGTGAAATATCTTCTGTGTAGGTGAAGAATACACTTCTCAGCTCCTCTCTGAAAGCTGATGGGTTCCCCTGCTAAAGCACTAACTTTCCCCAGTAGGAACTGAGAGAGAGCCTACAGCTCATCCCCCTCTAATTAAGACAGCTGACTGAAGTCATTACTGCATGCAACAATTTGTAATGTTAAAGAAAACCAAATCATAGAATCATTAAGGTTGGAAAAGACCTCCAAGATCATCGAGTCCAACCATTAACCCAACACCACCATGCCCACTAAACCATGTCCCTAAGCGCCTCATCTACACGTCTTTTAAATACTTCCAGGGATGGTGACTCCACCACTTCCCTGGGCAGCCTGTTTTTTGCTACCTGATAGTCAGGGGTCTGTTCAGAGTTATATTTCCACATAACTTGTGACAAATCAGCCAGAATGGACTAAGGGGCTTCACTAATAACACTCTCTCGACATACTTATCTTTGAAACAAGCTACTGTATTTCCATTGTGCTGTGTGAGAGTTATTCTTTGTAAAACTCTATTTTGCATGCAACATAAAATAAAATACCGAATCACATTCCAGAGATTGTTTTCACACTTCAGACAGCTGTCCTTCAACCAGAAGAAAGTATTTTAATGGATTAATCCATTAACCTATTAATATTTATCGACCTACGCTATTTACCAAAAGTCTCTGCAAGTTAGGGCATTTCTAGGAAAGGGAAATAATTTTTCCCATGCAATCTCACCAGAAAGAGTTAAAGAACTTCTAGACTTTAAAGAGTCTAAGAGTGCTCTGTTTAATGTTTGTGAGAAAACTTAGCACACTTGATCTATCAAAAGCATCCTTTAATAATTTCTCCTAGGATTTATTTCATAATTTTGTTAATCTGCATGAGGACAAGAATTTTTACTCCTACTTTACTCCTTTATGATCATATAAATTCAGGTGCATTTTTGTATGCTCTAAAATGAGTTATAGTTTTCTTCTCCTTAGGAGATCACAGCTGCTTGACTCACAGTGACTAAAACCTGCTTCTCGTAACAGGTGAAAGAATATAAGAAATAAAATCAAATAACTTTAAAAAACACTTCTCAGACTAACTAAATGAATTTGCTTTAAGCTCCTTTATGATCATATAAATTCAGGTGCATTTTTGTATGCTCTAAAATGAGTTATAGTTTTCTTCTCCTTAGGAGATCACAGCTGCTTGACTCACAGTGACTAAAACCTGCTTCTCGTAACAGGTGAAAGAATATAAGAAATAAAATCAAATAACTTTAAAAAACACTTCTCAGACTAACTAAATGAATTTGCTTTAAGTATAACATACGTACACAAGCAGGATCAGGAATGGATTTATTGGCATTTTTTTCAGATGACTTTCAAGACCTTAAAACCACAGAGAAGTAAAGTCATCCTAAATGCATGCTAATAAAACTTCATAGCAATACTCACTATCATGGTCTTTCTTTCCCCTGATCCATCCAATCAAGAAAGAAAAATCATTTTTAATGAAAACACACAATATATTCACTAAAATTCCCAAGCTAAACTGCACTTTCTTTAACTGGAAATACTATAGTCTCATATTGAAAATACATTAGGCCCATTAAATTCCTCAGGCCAAGTCTTTCAATCCCTTAATCAGTTACAAGTCACACTTCCACTACCTTCAGTTTTGCTTCAGTAACTTCTGTAATATTAGCATCACCATTACTTACGCTATCATTAATACATATTTTTCTTTGTCTTTTCACATGATCAGACTCTGATGGAATACAAGTGAGACGTGTTACAACTCGGTAATACTGACAGACATCTACTTACGCTCCCTGTTTAAGTATATTATATGAAATACGTAGGAGGCATGGTCACTTGTGTAAATATAACCCAAGGATTCATATTCAGAGTCACCCACCTGTATGTGGCTCAATAGAAAAGTAAGGCTGTCCTTCCAGAATGCTATAAACCAGCTTGGCACTATTTCCATAAACTGGATCATCTGCATCTGTAGCTGTTACTTTAGTAACAAAGGTGCCTAAATAAAAAGAATAAACACAATTAATGTCTACACTTACTAGAAATTTGCATAACTTATTAAAAAAATAATTTGAAACAAAAATTAATTTCCTTGTGAGTTGTATGACAACAATAAAAGAACAAAAAACATCAGTAACAACTAAAACATTACTTGTGGAACACAAACAGAACATTTTCCTCCAAGATGATATATGCCAGCAGACTGAATTTCTAGGTAAAAGAAAAACCTTTTTAGTAGCTGTATTATTTAACGTTTCTTTGTAGAACACATTTAAATCTACCTGATAGATCCGTGTAGACTTCAAGGAATCATATCAAAGGCATACGAAAGACAAGGTTAATAATACAATATAATATGTTGCATTTAAGATTTGCAAAATCAGATTTGGAAGACCTTTACCAAGTTACAGAGACTGCACAGAAAAGCAATAATAAAAAGGATTCTTTTTTCTTCTCTTGGCTTGCAGCCATAATAATGGTTTGATGTGGTCACAGTGACAGAGTTCGGACAACATCTATTGTCTCCGAAATGAGTCTCTGCCACTGAGGGGGCCATTGTCTAGCCAGAGTTATAAATTCCATACTCTGCCCAAAAAAAACAGAAGAAAAAATTAAGGAAATTGCCCTTTTTATTTCGTAGGCAACATAGCACTTTCCACTTCTGTAAGAAGCAAAATTGAATGAAATTCAGTCAGTTACATTAAGCTTGCTGCAGAGGTTTTTTTTTTTTGATGACTTAAAAATATAATGATGATGTTAATTAGGATAACAACAAAGACAGTATCTACAGAGGGAGAGAAAGCAAGACTAGGAGAGAGGTTAAGGGCTGAATTACGTTTCTTATGTTCAGAGAGGAAAAGAATTACAGCACCCACCAAAATATCCTATTTTCTGGATATGCCAATAAAAATAGCCTCCTCTTCCTTCTCACACTTCGTGTGATGCTAAATCCAAATTACACATCACTTCAGGGCAGGAACAGTGAACTAAAGGGGGAGGAGATCCCTTTGGCATGTCCTTGCATTGCGCCCTCTTTTCTTCTTTCTCTGAATGGCACATTGCTGTTACAGCTTTGGGCAGTTTTGTGCATTACAGGTCCTGCAAATTATTTTGATGAATGTTTGCATATTTAGAGATAATTTGCATATCACCCAATAGCTTCCATTTCATGCTTTCCCACCTGGCCACTTTGAGCATCAGGGCAAGAGATGGGGCTAGCAGGATTTCAGAGCGTCTAGAGGGATGGATAACACCTCGCTTAAGGAATGGAAGTTCTGTAGTGCCCGAAGTTGTGGCAGGTTTGCTGCATGGGAATAATGGGATAATTCCCAGGGAAGAGAATGAGAGTTGCAGAAATACATCTACTAGAGAAAAAAATGCCTATGGCTTGTACTAGTCATTTATTTTGGCTACTGGCATAAAATTATCCATTCTTAGAGGGGGAGAACATCAATGAAGGGAAGCAGATCAGCTGGTTGTCAGGCAAGCTCTACCATGGCCCCATCCAGCAGGAAAGTGCCCCACCAGCATCTCTCCTGCTGCTCAGCAGGGTCCAGAAGAATCCATGCGGCCTGTAGCTGACATGTACCATGTGGAAGAGGAACGCAATGCTGATGAATATTATGTTGCATCTTTGACAGATGCTTGCTGAACCTGTTCTTATAAACATATAAACTGTTTATGTTTTGAAACGTAACTGTTTTTGATGTTAAAAGGCAATCTTATACCTAACCTTTAATATAATAATCTTTAACCTGCCACTGGGCCTGAGAAGTGGACTTTATCCTCAACTTGATGGTTGGTTTTTAAGGAATTAACATCGGAAATTTGTTGCCTGACCAATTACAAACTTTGCTGTGTACCCAGACACTAATAGTCAATGCCTGGTAGCTTTGAGTGAAAACGATAAAGGGGATAGATGACACAAATGTGGTCCCCAGCACAGTAGCCTCAGCCTATAGATGATATCCTGAATTACCTCCTTCACATACAGGAGAATAAAAACAGTAACAGGGAAGCAACTATGAGGCACACTCAGAGGCCATGGCATAGGCTACAGAAAATAAATGAAATAGGGAACAATGACAAGGAAGCATGCAGGAAGCTTGAGTTTGGATGTTGCAGGAACAGAGGAACAAAAGGACCCTTTGTGGCTTGCCCACAGTAGTTACAAAGCATGAAAAGATGTAGCTATTAGAATTGTCGCACATATTGAAGTTTTGTTGGCTCACCTTCTGTAACTCACACACCTATTACAAGTTCTCTATTTTATTGTTCCTATAAAAAGTAACCTCTTAGCCAAGCTCTACCTCCCCTCTTGCAGAATTCAGGCTATAAGCCCCACCATCCCAGCAGGACATTCTCTGCAGTTCACTGCAGCTGTCCCATGAGTGATACCAAATACGAATGTAGAGGTCTTTGGTGGGTTGACCCTGGCTGGATGCCAGGTGCCCACCAAAGCTGCTCTATCACTCCCCTTCCTCAGCAGGACAAGGGATAGAAAATACAATGAAAGACTCGTGGGTCGAGATAAGGGCAGGGAGAGATCACTCAGCAATTGCCATCACAGACAAAACAGACTCGACTTGGGGAAAATGAATTTAATTTATTACCAATCAAATCAGAGCAGGGTAATGAGAAATAAAAACTAAATCTTAAAACACTTTCCCCCCACCCCTCCCTTCTTCCCGGGCTCAACTTCACTCCCGATTTTTCTACCACCTCCCCTCCCAGCGGCACAGGGAGAAGGGGAATGGGGGTTGTGGTCAGTTCATCACACCTTGTCTCTGCCGCTCCTTCCTCCTCAGGGGGAGGACTCCTCACACTCCTCCTCTGCTCCAGCGTGGGGTCCCTCCCACGGGAGACAGTCCTCCA